GGGAGTCATTGTGTTTACTGTATTTTGAATTTTTTGCTCTGTAAAAGTGATTTCTGTCTATCTTTTCGTCTCTAAAGAAACTAATTATGAAGGCAAACAAAAATACGAAGGTAGAATAGACTTTTATCACAACAAGCAATATAGAGTTTGTATTTAAATAAAAAATATATTGGGTAAGTTATTTGCTTAGTACTTTTTATATTTTTAATGAAAACAACGAATAAAAAAATCAAGAATATCTCACAATATTGAATTAAGACAAATCGTATTTTTATAAACTAATACCTTTAATGAATTTAACGACTCTATATAAAATGAAACAAAATGTTAAAAAAAGGAAAACTTTATATATTTAATTTGGATTATGAATAAAGAATTCAATGGACCGATGTACCCAACATAATTAATGAAAGCTTATTTATTAAACTTACAGCACACGAGTAACACGTAACACAAAAAGCGGTCTGTGGTTAGTTTTTACAACGAATTGTGCGATGTAGCTATCCTAATGATAAAATATTTATGAATATTACGTTAACATACGATAGGAGCACCAACCGAGACGTCCCGTTGACCAACAGTATCGCAAATTACTGGCCGCTGTGCTAGCTGCAAACAAAAAGTGCATCGGACGCCATATATGGTGGGCACATAGCGTAAATGCCATGGTCAACCATTGTATCGCTCCGATTTTTTCACTGGCAATTTATGCCTTATTAAAACAATTTATTCGCCCCTGTTCTCGGATTCCACGCCCGATTTACTTGCATTACGATGCGATGTTGAATGTTTTCTTTTCGACGTCCGTTTGCATTTTGTTTTGTCTTATATTTGGACTTGCGTTGTTTACTCGGCCACATTGCGGGTTGTTAACTCTACGCGTTGTTATCTATGATCTTGGTATAATCTTATTTATTTACGTTTATTTGCTATGCTACGACAAAGCGCAAGGTCTGAGTGAAAAGGTTCAAGTGATGCAGCAATTAAATTCATAAAATATCAGTCAACAATAGCCTATCTAATACAATAAAATTGTGTTTATATAAATTAACAAACGTTGCGATACTTAAACATAACAATCGAGCGTAAGACACCTCAAAATATAGTTTACTAGCGGCCGCCCGCGACTTCGTACGCGTGGTATCCCGTTTTATCCGCTTAGGGGTTGAATTTTGCAAAATCCCGTCTTAGTGAGCACCTACGTTCTAAAAGAAATCCTCATACAAAATTTGAGACTCTTAGCACTTGTAGTTTCTGAGATTTCGTGATGAGTGCGTCAGTCAATCAGTGACCTTTCGCTTTTAAAGATATTAATTCAAATATGAAATTTTTAAACCGTTAAGGTATACTAATTAAAGTTTGTGCTAATTAGCAGAATCACTGACACAAAGAAAAAGTTAGCAACTCATTTTAGCATGATCAACGTTAATACATAACTCATAATATAAACACTAGGTACTCGTATATGCGTGCATTGTTAAATAATTCTAAATTACATCAGTTGTTATGTAAAGCCAAGTTAGAAAACATTCGTATTTTATTAAGGCGAAAATGTTTTTCTCGTTTTGGAGCACGAAAATTTTTTAAAAATATATATTTTTTTAAATTCCACTTTTTGTTGTTCTTGGATGCTTGTTCGTGGACTTCAAGCCTAATTAGGATTTCTGATCTTGTATTTTTAGATACATTTGTTTCTAAGACTATGACCAATATGTCATACAAACAATGTATAATTACAATGCAGGTATGTTTGTTATCTTAAAGCTTGGACTCGTAAAAATATCCATAGCTTACATAATAACACCACTGGCGCATACAGAGCGACATAAACATATAAATATGACGCATCAACTCGAGACTTTACAACTATATTCAGGAGTTCATCACTATGACGTTGGTATACGTCTAGCTGTTCACTGGAATGCCTTGCTTGTAATAAACCATATTTTATTGCCAGCTATTGTGCAGCTTGCTTAGTTAGAGTGCGCTTGCATGTTTTGTGAGTGGACGCGACGGGCTAAAAAATTTAAACGTAGAGTTTAATTAAAGGCTACAAAAGTTTAGTATCTTGTTTTAAGACTTATAGACGTGTTACAAAACATAACTTAGCTAGATTCAATCTTAATCAATCATAGATTATGTGCTTGTGATTGGTTTTTAATGTTAAAACTGAACTAATTAAAGAACCTCGGTCTATGCTCGAGGTATGTAACTATAATTATTGAGTTTTGGGCGTAACTTTTTAATACAGACCTTATTGTTTTAGTGCAAATGAAAGCTCATTGGAGTCTTCCAGTGACTTGGCCCACTTTTAGCTTGGCCCACGGGCCTAATCCCTGGTTAGAATTTTTAATTAGGTAGTTATGCTTCTAGTGACTGCAATGGACCCACCTCTAAGGTTCTAGAGTGATGATGTCAGTCATGAGCAGTCTGCCCATCATATCTTGTGGGATTGTGATCTTTGGAAACATGAACGTGATATATGCTTAATTCAATCCCATCAAAAACAATACTTGTCAAAAAAACCAAGTCTCGCAACTCAGTTGTTCTACGGTAAAAAGTTGTGAGATCCATGTAATACCAAGTCCAGGCCAGGAAATCTTTAACGTTTTACATAAATATATTGACTTGGCCATCGCACTAAATAATTTAATTTACACGTGTTTTCATGCGATGGCCAAGTCAATATTTTATGTAAAACGTTAAAGATTTCCTGGCCTGGACTTGGTATTACATGGATCTCACAACTTTTTACCGTAGAACAACTGAGTTGCGAGACTTGGTTTTTTTGACAAGTATTGTTTTTGATGGGATCTCATTTCTNAAATGTCTCTCAATCCGTGTTTATTTATTTTAGTTGAAATGGAACGCAAAAATCTAAAATCTTATTTTTCTCTCGATTTTACCAAAAAATAATAACGGAGAAAGTAAAGTCTTAAATTGTATTCGATGATCAAAAATATTTTATTCAATGTTGACCGATATTTGACCAATATTTTGAATACCTGCACAGACAGACATTTACATTTAGGTAGGTACTCGTACACACACTTAAAAACTGTTTAGAAGCTCACTTAGACACACGAATATCGTCAGCCTAACTTTCAAACTGCTCAGGTATGTCCCTTTTTGCAAACTTTACAGTAGGAAATAACTGTTTATTTTTCATAGTTATGGTACTAATTAAAGTATAATGATGTCTAATTGAAATATAATCATTCATCGCAATTTTTTTCGATCTGCGTAAATTAAAATCGAGTTAACATTCCCGTAGGCAGTTATGTTAGAATTGGCAGCGCTTCGCATCTGTATTCTGAGCGCACTTTGGTATCGGGCAGAAGCGCGGGCGCGCGGCGTGAGGCGCGTTGTCTCGCTCTAAAATGCTCAAGGTCGTTCGGCCATGTAATCGCCTTAATAATTATCACCATGCAATTACCTGTGCAATTACTAAGATACAGCGATGATAATAATAATATTATACTTTATCAAGTATTTTAGCGCTGAATTTTCCTAAAATTCTTTAACTCAAGTCTCAAAAATTGCTTACATTACTACATAAGCCATATTTGTTTAATTAAGTAAATCTTAAAGCTGGAAAAGAATAATTAATTGTGTAAAAATATTTTTCGCATATAACTTTTCAAGGCTAATTATTAAACTTCATAGATTGTACACAAAATTTAATTGTACTAAACACATGCATACATACAATCATACAACATTTTCGGAAGCCTTTAGACGTCTTACTAAGCCTCGGCGCCCCACGGGGCCCACTTTGAGTACCAGGCACAGCTTGTTTGCCGAATGCGCCAGCGGGAAGCGTGCTAAAGCTCGCCGTAAACGTAAGCTCTAGAAAGCTGGCGCAAACTTAGGTCTTAACAACCCCTGCATTTAATCCCTATAAGCGCACGAGCGTGACCAGCTTGACGAGGTTGCAACGTTTTGCTATGATAATACCCATTTGTATCGAAACTAGACCATGTTTGTTGATTGAAATTCTATGAAAAGCTTGTCGGGAACGATGTTGAGCTTTTACAATTATCATACATCACGTTTAACTCAAATAATATTTCGTTGCAAAATGTATTTTTGATTGCTATTAATTAATATTAAAACTGATCTCGACCTTCAAATCCGATTTTTGTATTGCAGATTCAGTTTCGATGTTAATGGCTATCGATTGTCAGTAAGTGCCAGTTAAGCGGTTTATCGTGGCGCAAAAATATTAAAATTAATATTGCAGCCGCTTGTAACCGCTTTAAGCGAAGCTTACCGGGTGCCGACAATCGGACATCTGTCAACATCGTGCGCGCGAGGAAAAACCGATTTTCTGCTGTGAAAATCTTTTTACACGTCGATGTTATTTATTTTCTATTTTGCTTTAGCCGAGAATAAAGACCTTTATCGTGATCATGCAAAACAAGTGACGGCGACCGGAGATTATCTACCAGCATACTCTATTAAAGAGCTGTCATTCAGTCTTGCAGTTTTTGTAACGGCATACGTTGAGTAGTATTATAACCCAATACAGGCAATACAGTACGTCGCAACACAACTATTAACCATAACTTTACGTAACATGTTCAGTGTTTCTATTAAGTATTTAATTTATAAACTGCATGTATTTTATTTGTGACTTAAGTATATTGACATGTTTATTATTTTTAAGCTCGTAAGCGCTTTGGACCTGTTCTGTAAGTTTACAAGTGTTTTGCATTAACAATAAATAATAAATAAACGATAAAAACTCGCCATTCTTCTAGGTTTTGTAAAAATGATTTCTTGGATGCTTTTGACGTTATGCGATTTTCTATTTTAGACAACGATCTGTTTTTCTATGTTTAGAAAGGTGCTTGAATTCTCGTCACTGTAAGCTATAAAGTAGGAGACGAAAACTTTTCTAAGAATGGTTTCATAATATTAGTTTTTTATCACGATAGACAATTTTCTAGTTTAGAAGTACGATCTGTTCTCTCATCTAAATAGTATTGGAAACTCACCAATGCTCATCATCTCGACCAGGACCTCCAGTTGGATCATGAGGGCCACGACGGCAGCAGCCACTCCTCCGAGGATGGTAGCAAACGCTGGTGTGCCAGAGTTCTCAGAGATGCTCGCCAGTTTCCTGAGAAAAACAATATTTTTAACAAACTATTGCAGTGGCTCTGGATATAAAATGGACGATTTTTTGGAGATTTATAATATTTTTAACGGGTTAGGTATTATCTGGCCCACCGAAAATCTGGTCCGCGGACCAGTTAATAACTTTTTAAAATACTAGTCTTCATCTCGTCCGAAGGTCCGGGCCAGATAATACCTGTAAAATCACTAGGGTATAACTCGCCCAATCTATAGTGAGATTTAACAATCTGTTCTTAGTTAAAGGATTCGTGATAAATTGTTAGTTAAATAGCCAAATTCAAATTTCAAGCCCTTAAAATTTTAAACTAGGTAATGACTTAGTGCATCTAAAAAGTGGAAAAAAAAGGTACGTTCACGGTCTATTGTTTATACCATTGAAAAATTTAAAACAACCATCATTTTTAGGGTTCCGTAGCCCTGTCAAGGAACCCTTATACACTCGACATCAAATAAATCGCACCTCCCGCGACAAGCACTTTCAAACGTATGCATCCCCACTTCCCACCAATATTGGCACCATTTAAAAGCCTAGTTCTAAACTTCATTTCATTAAAGGAAAGGGTTTTACCCCAAAAATGTGTCTTTAGAAGGATCCAGAGTCACTTAAAAAAATAGGTAGTTACGCTTTAGCCAACTTTTATAGCTATAAAACTGTTAAGTTGGGATTTATCGCTATCCATCTGTTAAAGAGGACATGTGAGGTCATTATTTGGTTTTATAACCATAAAAAATGGTCTGATTGATCCTAGAGGTGAGCCCGAAGTGAGGTCTTTTTTCAAGTCACATTTATGGTATATGTTAATCATTTATTAAGAAACTTGCGGCCGCCTGCGACTTTGTACGCGTTGATCCCGTTTTACCCCCTTCATCTATCATACGCGGTTTAGATTTTTTCATACAAATGTTTTTTCCCGCTTACTCCCATTCCCGCGAGAACTTTGCAATATTCTGTTGTAACTGAGCTTTAAGTTTACTAAGATACCTGCATGCCAAATTTCAAGCGTCTAACTTAAGCGGTTTAGATTTTTCACACAAAAAGATTTTCCCGCTAATTCCCGTTCCCGTGGGAATTTCTAAGTATACTATAACCTGCCCAGGAGTATGAAGAATAATTGTACTAAGTTTCGTTAAAATCCGTCCCGTAGTTTTTGTTTCTATAAGGAACAGACAGACAGACAAAAATTTTACTGATTGCATTTTTGGCATCAGTATCGATTACTAATCACCCCCTGATAGTTATTTTGAAAATGTATTTCATGTACAGAATTGACTTCTCTACAGATTTATTANGACAAGGAAAAATTTCCGTGCTTTTAAGCGATTTTGTGAAAAATATTATTGGCAGGTAGTTGCTAATTGCTCATAAGATAGGCCCCCTTAATTGATATTTATTGTCCGTGGTGCATAATCTTTTCTTAAAGGTTTTAAACCTTTGTTTGTCACCTGTCATCCGCTTTGCAATGGAGGGAAGTCGAACCTTAATTTCGAACTCCTCCTAATGTTCTTCTGATTAATTTCGTTGCGGGTCCAATGACAGTTTAACTTTCCCCCGGGACAAACTTGACCTTCATTGGTTGGGTTTTTATGGCGGTCAAGCTGAAGATCCTGGCTACACAGGAGTTGCAGTGGTGGTGGGAACGAGAGGTGGGAATAGTCCCGTTTAAGGTTCTAGAGTAGATTTTTGTTGATTTGGTGTTGAATTTTTTACTAAAATATTGAAGGTGGGCCCAGTCGCTGGAAGAAAAACTATTTAACATTCAAACCAGCGACTTGGCCACCATGTTTAGGATGACTGCCGTTGTCTATCTGTACACCTTTAGTTCTACACATTGATGTAGTGCCTATTCGCTGGCCGCTTAGTTGTTTGTGTACAGCATCGCCAGCTGAAATAGATATTCAAATGTTATGAACACGAGCGTATCATAGCATATTCATGTGAAACTAATTGAGTATGTTCAAGTCACTATAATAGCACAACCTCTGCTTAGTGTGGGATTAAGCAATTGATACGTTAGTTGGAACAATTAGTAAATGTTAACTTAGTATGACTATCGTCTCTATTACATATACCCACTTTCTTGTTTCAATCTTTGTTGATCTTTCAAATACAACTACAAATAGATATTACAATTACAAATAGAGTCGCAGACTTGAAATTTGTATAATATTTTACTTGATAGAGTCATTTTGAAAGTTCGTTCTTTTCTGGGAGTGAAATATGAAATTATTGCGAAAATAACACCTGTGGCAAAGAAATCGGAAGACAAAAAGCGACATAGTATGACAAACTTGATCAACCAGTCATTGCATTTTCAGCTTGCTTTATGAAGTCTACACACCAAGTCCTACAGCCTGACTGCTTGGTGTCGGCGGCTTTATTTCAAAAGAATTTCGAAGACTTGTACTTTCTATGACTTTTGACAGCTTGTCAACTTGTTGAATCTAGAGCAACTTCAGTTTCTCTAGAACATTGTTCACCACATGTTCGGCCCAATGTTAAGGTCACGTTACCTACCTGTGTAATGAAAACGGGAAACAACAAGCTAGTATCATAAACTTGAACAAACCATAGATTAGTCAACTCGCCTTCATTTTCAGCTTGCTTTTGTTTCAGAACGTTCTATACGTTCAGGTGAAGGTTATCTCTTAATCTAGAGCAACCTCTGTTTGTCTAGCACACAATTGTTCACATGTTCGGCCCAATGTTAAGGTCACGTTACATAACAGAGTAGACGGCTTGGCGGCGTGCGCGCAGGGTCAACGACCGGGGCCAGCGCGGGCGCGCAGCCTCTAAACGTACTTATAAGTACACATGTAGTTCGGTAGTACATAACTAATCTACTGTGTGAGAAGCTGATATGATCTTTGCACGCGTAGGCTTGAGCGACTTGCTTTTCGTCCATTGTGAGGTCGTTGATGCTCTATTTTTTAAATTGTACAACAAGAAATAAAAGTTAAGAGACTCAAGAGAATAGTCACCCGACAAGGGAAGGGTCGTAGGTTCAGTTCTCATCTTAGGTTATTCGATTCTATTATAGTTTCTAGATATTAAGCAATACTCGTAAAACTTTATTATACATACCTTAGATACCTGTGCTTATATCACTACATAGTATTATAAACGAACTAAAGTCGCTGACATAGCCCGACGGATCAGCAAGCTGAAGTGGCAGTGGGCTGGGCACATAGTACGCAGAACTGACGGCCGATGGGGCAGCAAGGTTCTGGAATGGAGGCCACGTACCGGAAAACGCAGCGTGGGACGTCCACCCACAAGGTGGACCGATGACCTGATAAAGGTAGCGGGAAGGCGCTGGATGCAGGCCGCTACCAACCGTGCGATGTGGAAGTCATTGGGGGAGGCCTATGTTCAGCAGTGGACGTCCTGTGGCTGAAATGATGATGATGATGATTATAAAACAAAGTCGCTGCAGATGCATGTCCCTATGTATGCTTAGATCTTTAAAACTACGCAACGGATTTTGATACGGTTCTTTTTAATAGATAAAGTGATTCAAGAGGAAGGTTTATATGTATACTTAATTAGCACCCATGCAAAGCCGGGGCGGGTCGCTAGTTTATATTAAAGGTAAACATTATTTATTGTAGAGACTAGTTCAATTTGAATACAGTATTTTAAAATAATATTTGTACAATGAAGCGCACTCTAAAATCAGTACTTTAGCAGAAAGGCTTACACTCAACTCTATATAACAAGTAATAACATGGAAACCGTACTTTATTCGAGTACTTAGTACCATCCTGATCCCTTTTCTACAAAAAAGAACTTTTGCGGAAGTTCCACGAATGTTTAAGTATTAATACCCGTTTATGATTCATTTTTAAGGGAATATCTAAAGGAAAAGTCTTTGATTTGAGTGGTATTAACTTAAACACGAAATAAAGTGAATGTGGAAAAATCACACTGATTTAAAGATCTCAAAAAAGCCTGGTACCTATTACTTAACCCTTAAATAGACTTATCTGCGTGAGTCACTAATGTAGAGCTGCCAAAAAAGTTTTACAAAACCCTAATAATATTTTTAACACGAAAAGTATCGCTTTGGTTATCTGAACTTTGAATGTGTGCAAATAACACTAATGTAGAGTTGTAAAAATTGGCATAATATTTTATTTAACCCTATTTTAAAATTAGAAAATCATTATAAATATTTGAAGAAAATGAAAGTCATTTATTTTCTTCAACTAAGCTTTTAAAAGGCGCTTTATCACATCCCAGTTCCATTCTAATACGACAAGTATCTCGATGGTTATCAGAGCAATTATATCACTGTCAACATACTATTATTTGCATTCCCATTGATGACATATCCCGCTTACATCGAAGCGACCGCGAACGCTCATCTGTCTCCGAGCACATGTCGGTAGTTATTACTACGACACTAATGACAAGGATTAATTCATTATTAATAGCTATTAAAGACAGTGACAATGTTCCGGGGTTTCTTGTGGTGAACGGTTGTGAGGATTATGTGTTGTTTTCATTGAATTACAGTTCGATTGTAGATCAACTTGAGTCACTTCATTCATCGCTGCAACTAATGGGTAGTTGACACTAATATCTAGTGGCACGATTTTGAAAAGAACATAATTTTAGCGCAAATAAAATTCGTTTTCAATTATTTATCTTCAAATAATTGTAGGGTAAGGTGGTGTAAGAGTGCGCGGGCGATAAGAGTGCGCATCGCACGTCACGTCGATCCTGGGAGGGGTAAATGGCTAGCTTTAGTTGTGTTTTGATCTGTTGGTGATAAAGGTTACGCTGCCGAAAAAAAACCGAAATTGGTTAAAAACAGGAGATACTACGTAAGTCGAAACTTTTTTACTCGTTTTGATCTAATTTTATTGCGTTTGGCAAAGATTTCTGTTCGTAGACTTTCAGTTTAACAAAATTATTCATTTTTTATACAAATAGCTTACCTACTTAGCTAACCGATTCATTCGAAAAACTTGCCCGAAAACTCAATAGATGGTGGCAGTGGTTCGATTTGTTTGAAAAGGTTCAAACGTATAAGAGTGCGCACGGTGTGTGCGTATAAGATTGCGCGCGCACTCTTATACGACGTTTTTTTACTGAAGTGTTGTGGGTAAAATAAATTGTCATATAATATGCTTATATTTTATTTTGTGTATTTACAGCATGTCTCGGAGAAAGAGAACTTCTTCGCGACAAAAAAATACGAAGAATGAAGTTAAAAAAGAGCTTCAGGTACCATTTAAAACATGTACTTTGGATTAACAGCAAAGGGATTGGGTGGGCTAGCTTTTGAGTATGCTCAAGTATATGATATACCAAAAAGGTTTAATGCAGACTCTAAATTAGCTGGAAAAGAATGGTTGAGGTGTTTTTGAAGAGACATCCTGATATATCATTGAGACAACCAGCTGCTACAAGCGTTGCTAGAGCTATGGGATTCAACCAGGCACAAGTCGAGAACCTATCACAGATCGAGTGCTCAGTGTGCCGGCAATGGTGGCATGAAAACTGTACTGGTTACTTAGGCCAAGGACTGTATATGCGATTTGTGCATTAAGAATTAATCCGCGCACTCTTATACGACTCAACGCGCACTCTTATACACCTGGGTGTATAAGAGTGCGCAATTTTGATTTTTTATATTTCTTCAGTTCCTACCTTAACTAATAACCTAAGCGTGATTTGTTCTTCTATAATTTGTTGTCAGATAAATAGAGTTTATAAATAAATAATGATGATTTTTCTAAATGTGGTATTTTATTTTTTATGGGGTCTCAAAATTAAAGTGCGCACTCTTACACCACCTTACCCTACTACTAGAAACCAATAAAAATATTTTCCCTATGCCTGTTTAAGGGTTAAAGTATCTTCAGATTATATTATACTACTTTTTTTTCTTTTTTTTTTTTTATGCATAACAAGGCAGGTATTTGACCACAATCGCACCTGATGTTAAGTGGGATGCAGATGCTACTTCTTAACGAGACATGTTAGTTATTACGCTACGCTATCAGTTTATTGCCTTGAATCAAAATAATACTGAAGTAGTTATTTTTCTTTGAAAATGACCAAACGTGAAAACAAACGGTTAGTTATAAATGAATCGACTTTCTCATTCGATTGCTGATTACTACAAAAATGATTGGCTTGTTAGAGATTTGTTGTTTGTAACTGCTCATCAGTCGATCACTGCTGCAACTAATGGGGGTTTATTTAATTTTGTTTAATAAATAAATTGTCTCTTATATTTTATGTACTAGCCCCAACATTCCTTAATTTTCTCTATCATAATAATAAAATGTAAAATATCCTAAACGAATACTATAACCCCATATTATGTATTAAGTTGCAAGTAGGATCGTGTGAATTCCTGAAAATATGAGTATTAATATAACATTATTACCTACTTCGGTAACCCAAAATCATGTTAATAAATTAAACTCCTACAAGTTTTCACAGAAGTAATCTTCATTAAGATTACGTTCAGTTTTTCTATAATTGCGATACCTTACCCAAGTAAAAGCAGGCAAGCTAGCAAGTGGGTTAAACTTTTTGTTTTACAGGTCTTGGATTGAGATATCTGACATATAAATTCATTCACCAGTATTTTTCAGCAACCTTTATTTGTTAGATAGTGTTATCTATCAGATAACTATCTAAAACTCTATCAGGATAATAACTTGCCAATTAATTGACGTTTTTGTTGCTAAGACATATTGTGATGTCGGCAGACCACCTTTGTGGTTATTTGCCCTTCGCGAACTATGGTGCGAAAGCTATAAGTAGATACACGTGGTATTTTCTTTAGTTGTAATACTAGTAGATGTTATTTTACTATAAAAAGGAATCGTGTAATATTTGCTCGCGATTTTGCACATATTCGCTATTTCGTATGTTTCAGCCAAAATTTAATGACGTACACTGCTGGACAAAGGCCTCTCTCAAGGATTTCCATAATGACCGGTCCTGCGCTGCCCGCATCCAGGTTCTTCCCACGACCTTTACCAGATCATCGGTTCACCTAGTGGTAGGCCTGCCCACATTACGTCTTCCGGCCTGTAGTCGCCACTTGAGAACTTTTCAGCCTCAACGGCCATAATAGATATTGTTTTAATTAATTTGTAATTGTAAAAGACTCTATACTCCAAGTTCGTCGACAGCCCAAAAACTACTTGACATTTTAGACTATCATAAGTATCGGTAAAGTTTTTAACATCTAAAAGGTAAATTGTGATAAATTATTGGGGTACTATTCCTGTTTCGGTATTTCAATCTAAAACCTTTTAAGGCGTGAAACTTTTTCAGTTAACGAGTTTTTGTTTTAGGAACGCGACAAGTTGTTAGCTTTTATTAAGGATGTAATTATTTTTACACTTCCCTGAAAGGTAACTTTACTTTGGATTACAATATTTATAAAGGAGTTTTAGCTGTTGCCCTCTCTATATTTTGTTTGTATAGCTAAATGCATTGTTAACTGAAATGTTTTTGAATTGAAAAAAGACAATCGATCATATTTCAATGTTTATTTTTAAGATTGCAAATCTTCGGTAGCCACCCCTTGCTAATTGCCCAATCGTCCTTCGCCGGTTTTGTTTAGCTTTTCTTGAATCAGGCCAATCCGTTCGCTTCCTTTTAATGAGCACGTCCTTTGTAGTCTAGCTACGACACATTCCCCAAGCCAATGTTTGCCATCTCATTACCTGCCTTTTTAGAGATTACCCAAATGGACACGGCTTTTTCCAGCCACCAGGTTTACTTTAACCATTCATAATACCTACTTACTGTCCCACTAACGAGATAGTAGTAATCTGTGTCGTTGCGAAAGGATCGTCAAAAGTAAATAGTGAACGACGCTAAAAGGTGCGTAATCCTGCTGAGCGTATACAATGAGCTTAGAGTGCCTCCCTGCTCTAACGACGAACCTTCGAGATCAATGCGATTTCTCAGTTCGGGGAGATTTCCTCGAGATAATGCCTCGTTATACGCGAGTGATGTCGTTGATCCGTCAATAATTATGCTGATTTTAAAAACAAGCCGTTGCAAGTTTTGTAAATGTAAATAACATTTTAAAATCTACAAAACGCGTTTCTGTATTTAAAAAAAAAACGAATTAGAAAAGTAAAAGAAAACTTTGTGAAAGTAAAGAAAACTCCCTGAAAAGTTGTTATTGTGACGCAATTGGTTATATCCTATTACGTAGCGTTATGCAAAATTGATCTAACGCGTTATTATCATTAAAAGTTGCAACGATGAGCTCGTATCGTACGTTCGAAAAGTATCTCGCGCGGTCGGCGGTCGGAGGCTGAGCTAGCGCAGGCGCCCAGGTGCGTCAGGTGGACCCGCCCCCAGCGCCCGCCGCGCGTCGCGCACCTGCCCAACGCTCAGTCCACCGCCACACGCCGGCCTGGCGACTTGTGCTACACGCACGCCGCCACTTTCTCACGCGAGCCCTGCGCGTCGTCTCTCGCTTCTCCCGATACTCAGTTTCCCGCTCTCTCCCGCACTTTCGAAACTTTCACGCACTTCGAGCGCGCGATCCCGTGTTCCCGCGCTTCGGACGAGACGGCGCGTGCCGTGACGCTGGTCGGCCGCTGATGCGGTCGTGAAAGACGAGTGCTAGGCCTCGAGGAGGCCGCCGGCACGCTGTTCCCGCCGCAGCTAGGGTGCGTGTCCTACGTGACGCCCTGCGCTTGCTGCCCGCCGCTGTACCTGCAGCCGGCCCCGCATCCTCATCCGCTCCCGTTGCCGCTGCCTCTCCCGTTGCCCCTCGCTCTCCCACTCCAAGCCCTAGACCCTCAAGTCGGTAAACAGAGACTGCTGCTCTCTAACATGGTAAGTCCAATTTTTTCAATATACCGCCGGCCGACCCACAACAACACGAGGACCCACATAAATAAACATTTATTTATTAGGCAACATTTGCTAATGAAACGCTATCGAGAGCCGAATCACATCCTAAACTTTGATCGTAACTATACAGAAGTTTCAAGTAAGATTTACTTGCATAAGTTGAGAATATTAACGTAAATTTAACTTTGCGTGAACTAACACACTGATCTCGGGAGAGTATTTCAAGAATGCTCTACATTTATGTTAAATTTGGGTTAAAAAAGTTTTTGATAAAGTTGAGTAGTAATTTGTGCGATTAATATTCAACAAAAGAGATTTTTTGTCGGTAAAATAGCTGGTTTAACAACAACACAAGCTAAATCATCCCGAGTAAATGTTCACACACCGACTACGGAATAGTTGTACTAGTTTGAGAATTTATCACTTTAGTTTATACGTTGGATACTCGTGCTCTCGACTAGAAATCGTGGAAACTTTTTGACGAACTCCACGAGTGAAACGTTTAAGCGCATTTTCAGCTGATCAGATTCCGTTATTCTAAAGCGAAACAATGTTTAACTCGCGCCAAACTTCGTCAATGTAAACTTGGACGAAATTCCGAATGCAATCCCGAAAGAAGTTTGGTCGGAAATCGAACGTTAGTATTCGACAGGCGATAAGTAAATCAAGTTTTGTTTATACCGGAGATTCTTATCTTTCCTTCGCTACGGCCGCATCCCGCTATGAAAGCGTTCTGATGACAGAAGTTGTCTTAAATGGAAGTCGCATTAAACTTTTCTCATTAAAACCACCCGTCAAAGGTGTGTTTATGTTATTTTAATACTGCTCGCAAATCTGATTCGTTCTTGGGCCTGCTCGTAACAGCCTGAGTACTGAAATCCCTTTTCTTATATCTTTATGACTGTCTGTTCATCAACTTGATCGCTCTTGAGGTTACTGAAGGAAGATTAATGTGTTTTCAATAATAGTGTTGTCCATTTATAATATTTCTCTCATGCGCAGTGTATGTTTTAAAAAATTCTTATTAGAATATTAGTAAAATGCAGCTTCTGTTTTATGTAAAACATCGTAAAATAAAGGTGTTAAACCGTGTTTGATACCTACTCATATCAAAATTCATGCAGGTTCGCTCGAATTAATTTATCGTGTCGTATTAATTAATAAAATCCGCTGTCTTTGTTTTAACGTAAATTTTGATTATAAAATTAAAATTCACATGTCAGTTCCACCCAGAATGTCAACACACCGAATACTTTGCGCTAAGGCTTGCATTCCAGCGAGTTTCTCATAAAACGGATAATTCTACTGCGTAAAACATTTTTATAGTCTTTTTAAACATTTCAAAGAAAAATGGAAATTTGTATCATCTATTTAAATAAAAATGAGCGTATTAATATTACGTAAACTTCAGTATTAAGTCAAAAGTGCGTCAAAAATTGTATCAAATGTAGGTCAAAGAAGGTCGTAAAAGTCGCTTATAAAAATTTAAAATCGTATATTTTAAGTTACATCTGTTACAGCATATTATAACTCAATTAAAGTTTGTCTTCAACATGATTCTAGTGATATGATTTTTGCTCTGTGATTGTTTCTAACGGGACCCTCGGCCATGTTAATAAATTGTCACTAATTTGATTGAATTGAAGTCAATGCACAGTCTAAACATACCGTTCAAGAAAAGTTTTTATGTTATTTTAATTGTTATTCATAAATAAATCAATATTCAACGAAGCAGAAAATGTAGAGAAAATATGCTTCAGTTAAATCAAAGAAAACTCATTTCAGTTCCGCTTTTAAAATATTTACAGCAGTTAAATTTATTAATGCACTTCAAATGAAAGAAATAAGAAAAGAAAATACTTCATTTTACACTTTGGACAAAACATCAATAGTTAAAATCTTTTTCACTTCATACAAGTCATTAAAACGTAGGTACCAAGTATACCTGCATTATTACAAAAACGAAAGCCGACTTAACTTATTAAACATGCATTCAAATGTTTACCAGAATATTTTCCTGTCGTAAAAAGCCCCAGATGCACTGGACGTCTGACCTAAAGAATATAATAATCGTTTGAATTTACATCACGTGCGAATATTCATAGTCGGGACCACATAACGGGCTGTGAGTGTTTCCGAAGAATCACTACCACTGCGTTGAATTTCTTCATGGAACTTCTCAGTAACGGGACATGCCATACAGACCAGGTCGAGTCAATTAACGCAAATATTTATTATTTTAGAACCGACGGTTAAATCTTACCTTACATTCCTAGTAAATTTTCCTTTGGACGTAGATTATAAATAAGTTTTCGTTTTCAAACTTGGCGAGCACTCTTAAAACTTCTTATAGGTCGCGAAGTGGATGGTAATCGTAAAAAACATATTTCCCGCTCTCAGATCATCCCGTCATTTTATGTAGGTACAAAAAGGAAAAGTAATAAAACGTTCCCATAGCAGCAATTAAAATATTTTATTCGTAATAATTTTGCTGTTGCTTGTAAAGTTTTATTTAATACTGTGCCGGTTAATAAATCCTAGGTGGCGTGCATCGCGTGGTGCGCGCGCGCCATTATCAGTTTCACCGATTTCGTATGAAAGTCGGATCGCGGGCACGCATGCGCGACGGTAGGCGATAGAAATATGCTCGGCTAATTGCATTCATACATCTAATAAGTATCTACTAATTCCAATTCAACAATCAATTATGTAAAGCGAAGATTCTGTCACGTGATACCGATTTAACTTGAATTTTCTCGTCGTTTCTACGAGTTGATTGGACGTTTTCTTTATGCGACAGTATACAGCTTGGTCAAGTGTGAAATAATAAATAGTCGAGCTGGAAGTGATTTATCGACGAAATTATACGAAAACTAAAAGAAACAAGTGAAACCTGACTTTCTAGGCAATTACAAAATCATATTGACGAAACATTTTTCTTGTTTCTGCATTTTATATATTAATGTTAATTGATACGCAGTTTTTACCGGCGATCCAGAAATCGATCAATGTTTTTTGTTATAAATATTAATATAAGCTACTAATATGAAATGTAATGAAGTATATTCTGGCAGTAAGACCAATTAAAAACCTATGGGATACTAAATATTGTACGTACATTTTTATACATGCTGTTTACTCTTATTTTGCTCTACACTCAACCTCTGTAAATGGGTACAGATTAATATCTTTGGTTCTACGTACGCGTGCGTGCCTACGCGTTCGTTAGACTACCATAAAACAGTTTTAAAACGGCTCTACTCCAAAACTTTTAAATCTCGCATTTTAAACATTTTCGTTAAACTCTACACTAGTTACTAGTTAGCCTCGCTTTATTTCAACGTCTAAATAAGCTTTGATGAACGGAACGAAATTACCCATTCATAAGTGTTTAGTATACATTTTAACAGCAACAATTAGTACGTGGTTTATTAACAAACGGCAAAGCGACGATGTTCATAAATAAAGCAAATTAATTAAGGTATGCTGTAGTTAATGTTGCTGCTGATTTAGCGCTTAACCCTTGCTGTAATCAAGGAAAAGCAGAAAAAATGCTTTGGTTAATGCTGACCTAATTCCACAATAACGTGCACTTTAATTTTATTATTGTTCTACAGAACCGATCCGATACCTATTATTGAATATTCTAATCAAACTTGAACTTTACCGTCAAAATAATAAATAATCCAAACTTTTATACAGACTTTAAAGTACTTCACGTTAAGCGAACCATTTGTTTATATTAGTGATCATACTTTTGAGCACGAATCTCAAGTAGGTATAGAACTTAATAGTTAACTTCTAAAAAATTAACTGAAAACAAACTTAACTTTGACAGTTTATAATCTTTTTATCGATCATAATAAGTCAAAACTATTTACCTACTCACAGGCCTTCAGCGCTACTAGAACCGACTAGTTCTCAAAGACAATAAAACCAAATAAGGCTTAGGGCACGCATTATAACTGTTCACTGCCCATTACGCGCAGGTGTGCACACAGCCCTAACAGTAAAATTAATTTTATAAAACTTATCTCGAAATTACCACTGGTCAGTTTATGGTCAAATAAAAAACCGAGCCTCTCAAAGGGGCCCCGGTGCGTCACTGTACAGAGTCCTGAGAAATTTTTAGGCATCAATCTATTCGATAAGATTCGAGCGATAGTGTTGTCTATCATTTTCGAGCATTCGAAATCGATTTAACACGGCGAGTTGTACAATCATCGAATTAATGTTTATAGAATTTTAATAACAGTAACATGTCCTGGAAAAGTAATGAATTCTAACGATACTTTAATAGCAATTAACCCAATTGAGCAACAACTTGAATGTTGTATTTACGGGTATAATTACATCGTATGGCTGTAAATTGTAGTTCCAATTGGCGTCTATCGCTAGCGCTTGTGTTTCGACCCAAGTATAAATAATATAAGGTCATCGTGCCGACTTACGAACCGGAACGGCCATAGAATCAAATGTGGACGCCAAAAAACTAGTCTCCACACTATTTGTAGAATCTTTTGTTATTATTATCATGAGATTTGTGGTTCCGCGATCGTTTTTGTATTGACGATGCCGCGTAATAGATTCATTGTGTTCGATTGTAGTGCATTACCTAATCGTCGTTCCGATTATCGATTTGAGCGCGCGATTTGGGTATCAGATTGAAAAGAGCTTTGATCCTGTCAGGTTTTTTTCTTTTTTTATTGAATAAATAAAACACTACCTAATTTTATTTTAACTTTATAGAGTTGTTAATGAATCAAACTAGTTTTCGAAGTGTATTAATAATATTCCGAAAACGCTACTTGTCATGAAAATACAAATAAGTAAACTAAAGTTTTGATGTAATAAAAATAAACATTCCAAACAAAAACACAAAACCATATCAAATTCAGAAATATTGGTCGCTTGCGGTTTGGTTAACTTTTAATCTTTCTCATCTTTTTAAAATAACTGTTTCTTTTCTTATTTTTTTATAT